TTCTTCTTCTTCTTCTTCTTCTTCTTCTTCTTCTTCTTCTTCTTCTTTAAGATGATTTTTCTAAGTGGATGGACACAATTCTCATTCTTCATTGCACTTACATTTCTGATCAGGTAAAAGAAGAGGGAGTTGAGAGGGGGCGGGGTTGGATTGAGAGCAGCTCATTAGGCAAAAGGTTGTTTTTTTTAAATATACAGGACCACTGTCATTCTCGAAAGCTTAATTTTTACTAACAACACAGTGAAAGGTTTGCTTATGCTATATATAGGAACCCCATAACCCTAAGCTCGTGGGAGGCAAAAATGTTAACATAACTCATTAATATCGCAGGTGATATTTTTGTGGGGAAAACAGAGGCGTGTTTTTCATGGAGAAAGATTTTGAGAAAATAGATTCAGACGGAGTCTTTTATCTTTCTGAGCCCCGACTACTTAAAAAATACATGACGTGGTATTAACAACGAAAATGAGGCATCGTCTGACAAGTACGCAGGCTTATTCATGATATCCATCGCAAAAGAGACGTGGATAATAGTTTATTACTACAACGACGCGTCTTCAAAGTATTAACGCAGATGTCTTAACCCTTTCAGCCCCATGCGCATATATTTTTCAGCAGTGCTTGTATCTCCCACCGTCCCAAGAGTGTAAATTCTCTGTTTTGGGGTACCGAATTTGCGCATTTTTCGAAATTAGCGAACTAAATTAAACTTTATTTTTCTTAATATTTTTCATTTACTCTTAAACATTGTTAATCTATATGTTATTATCTAAACCTCATTACAAAGATACTATATCACTTTTTAGAATGCACACCTCTTTTTCTGAAATGCTTCTGTATTGACTGGAATTAGGGAGTGCGCAAAAATGGCTGAGGCTGGAAGTGTTAAACACAAAAACCAAACCACTTCCACAGACAGTGTTTTTTCTTTGATGTACGGACTTACATGTTACAAACAACAAAATGATATTCCAGTTTGTAAAATCTTTATGTAACCGGGCACTTAGCTGCAGCTCACATAATATGACGTTTATCCTGTAGAAGCCTGTTTTGCCCCCTTGGCTTATTTATATTATTCAATAAAAACAGCTCTATATGAATTGTAGGGTTTGAGTTACGGCCGGTGGGCAGAAATATTGGTGGCAGTTTTTTTTTTTGGGGGGGGGGGGTGGAGAGGGGGGGGGGGGTTAACGCAATTGAATGTTCTCAAATATGTTAGTTTGCTCAAATTAAATACAAGTAGCATCCAATAAAATCAAATATTTGCGCAAATGTGCTCGCTGTTATCGAGGAGCCACAGAGAAACTGACAATCCTCAAATGTCAAGCTAACTGACTAGTCCATCAGATATACCCCCTAGCCGCGGAGAGAACCCGGGGAGAGGGGGTGTGGATTTGAACTGCGGAAATGTAGCGTGTTTTTAGTTTCATTTTTCCTGAAGGCTCTTGTAAAAATTCTCCACACGCAAAGAGAGAACGAAACTCGATCAGAAAGTAAAGATATCGTGCTTCTGTTGATGATACCAAATATTTTTCCACACTTTTGATCTGAGGAGTGGCACACAACATTAAATATAATCACTTTGCGAAATAACAGGTCTTGTGAAAGACATTCCGTGTTGATCAATCCGCTGGATGGGAATAAAAATGGCCAACTAGAACCTTTCTTAACATCTTTTGCGCCTGTTCAGAGGCGGAAGAAGACTTTAAACACAGCTTGTGTTTTTGACGAAAGCAAGACAAGAAGAGACCATAAAATTTAAAGGATGCTGGTGTTCCGGTGTCTCTGCGCACAAACTGATAACGTTCGTTAGTGCAGATATTTTTCTAGCTTTCTCGGTCACGTCTAATCTCTCTCTCTCTCTCTCTCTCTCTCTCTCTCCCTCTCTCTCTCTCTCTCTCTCTCTCTCTCTGTTTATCTTTCATAACTTCTTTTCTCCTTTACACTCTCCCAAAGTCCCACTCCCACTCTCTCTTATAATCCTCTCTCATTCTCTTTCTCTCTCTCTTTCTCTCTCTCTCTCTCTTTCTCTCTCTCTCTCCCTCCCTCTTTCTCTTTACCTCTCCACCTTCCTGTCTCTTTGTTCGTTGTCTATCTCACCTCCCACGTATTCTTTTCAAATTTACATTCTTCCCACACCCAGTGTTACCGAACCCCACAACTCTAATTGTCTGTCTGTCTGTCTGTCTGTCTGTCTGTCTGTCTGTCTGTCTGTCTGTCTGTCTGTCTGTCTGTCTGTCTGTCTGTCTGTCTGTCTGTCTGTCTGCCTGTTCGTCTCTCTCTCTCTCTCTCTCTCTCTCTCTCTCTCTCTCTCTCTCTCTCTCGCTTTCTATCTCTCTCCGCCCCCTCCGTCTCTCTCACGTTTTGTTTCTCAACATACAAGGTGCAAAAAAAACCTCCTCCAAATTCCCCCCCAAAAACAATATAAGTGTACTTACCCTGGCAAAATATTTAGGTAAAAGCTGCTCCTCTTTTCAGCCGATTTTACAGGAATGCCCTTAATTGCGTCTATGTCCTCTGTGTAGATTGATCTGGCCAGCACCACGCTAGAACGGTTTGATCCCCTCAGCTGGGCTGGGAGGAAGTGTCTGCCCGTGTCATTCCTGCTAATCAGCTGTACGATAATGCCATTTTCTTGTGACACTTCTCAAGACTATTCCTGCCGATCCAAAACAGCTCTCTGAAAGAAGGTAAACGAAACGTGAACGTTAACGCTCAGTTTGGAGTGTTGTTTGATAACATTACTGGAAAAAAAAAGATTTAGAAAAGAGTAAAACTGGAGGTGTGGGGTAGGTTAGGGGGGGATAGGGATGGGTGCAATAAGGGGAATTGTTTGGCTTGTTTGGATGAATAAGAGTGGGGACATTTCGAGTGTTTTCCATACATTTCCTATCATAAAATGGACCCGTATGGAGGGACAAATGTACGGAGAATAGAATCTGTGGCTTGTAAGGAGAGCGTGAAGTTTCCGTATTGTGTCAAATGTGGAGTTATGAAAACGTTTTTTTTTTGCTTTCTAACTTGGTTAAAAATTTCCGTTACGTTTTTGTGAGTCCCCTTTCGTGACCACTGAAGATTCCAGTATATTGTATTCAAATGTGGGCTCATGGTGATAAAAAAACAGTCTCATGAACCTTTTGTTTATCCAGTAAAGTATAATAATTATGTTAAAAGCAAAATCCCCTGTAAATACACGACTATACAGTCAACGTTTTTCGAGTCCTCTTGTACGTCAACATTGCTGCGGTTTCTTATGACTAAACGGGTGTTAACACCCAAGGCCCTCGGGCCAGATCCGGCCCGGCTAACAATTAGGTCTTGTCCGCATGAGAATGTTAGGTATCGGCACCGGGAGTCCGCCCTGAGAATCTCCATAGTACAGAACCTTTCTCTAAAGATAAAATAACTTGATGCAAAGAAAAGATGTCAAACATCTGGCTTAAAAAGCTAACGTTGATGTTACTTAATTTGCTATTTTTAAAAGTTTTGTTTTATTTAATTCATATCATTGCTAAAAAGTGATGTTTTCCCATTGCTAAACGAGTGTTTCCCCAATTCAGCCTGGAATCTTAGGTCTAATTTGAATTTGGTCTCCTAAGTTACTGAGTATGGCACCCTTGATTTTAAAGCAACGATCTTCGGTGGCCAAATAATTTGCCCGTCAGAGTTGGCAATGCAGATGTAGACTGGGAATGTTGTCGGTGCCCTGGATCAGCACAACACATTCTCATATTCACATGGAACAGAGCAGTGAACTAGAACACGTGATTTCATTTGGATACCGTAAGTGTACAACGTCAGATAAAAAAACCAAACCACTCAACGGTTATTCAAGGCGCCATTCCTCCCTGTCCGATAGGACTAAAACGGATTCTCGTCTGTGAAGGTTCAAATTCGGCACTCATTATAACTGCTTTCGTTAACCCTCAAACTGGTTCTTCATTAACACCAACAACAGAGTAGGCGGACAAGACTTTAGTCCCTCATATTTTCTAACTTGTTCACTGAGACTGAGACTCTATTTGATCATGATTTATCAGTCTGGAGAAGGAACCCCGAGAAACAGGTTAGAGTCGTGCAATAACGTGTAGCCTACTTTGAGGAAAACATAACACGATCAATCGTCCGGCTTATAATCTTTCCCTCCTTGCCTGATGAACTGTAGTGTTCAGGAATTTCCTCACCCATTCATTTCCTTCGCCTCTAAAGTATATTTTCTCTTCATGGACCAAGTTAAGATTACTCGCGGACAAATATTTTGAAAATGATTTCTGAACATTGAGGCAGCACCATGAGATTTCGTTTTAGTAAATGGACAAGAGATATAATACGGTCACATGTCACAATAACTTGTAGAAGACCCAGGTTCGAATCATCAATATAGGGTGTTTTTAAACCCGAGTTACTGGAGAGGTTTTTATGCACAGCAGATCCACAAGAGCTGAGTGTTGAGATATAACACCTGTTCGTCCTACGAAAACACATTTTACGCCAGAGAATTCAGATTTCTGGAGTCACTCAAGAAGAACGTTTCGAGCACAAACAGGAAAATCTCGCTGTTAAACAAGAAAAATAGAGCACATCTAGTAGTGTTCCTTCGGAGAAGGAAGTTACATCAAAGTCTCACCTCACCTTTTAACTTACCTTGTTTAAACGGAGGCCATAATACGATCTATAACACCCCAAGTGAATCATAATAACATTAGTAAAATTAGGCTAATAAAATCTGACAGAGCGTATTGAATGCGAGAACAGGATATTCGTATTCAAAGAACTCCCGGCATTACAGGGCACGTGCAGTTTTTTCTTGTCAATAAAGAACCCCCCACCCCCCTAAAGAGACGAAACGGTACTTGTTTCACTGCTGAAAGGCAAGAATTCTCATTAGAAAAAAAGCCTTTCATTTCTAGGACCAGGCGACAAGAATGACACCAGGGCTAATAATTCTTAACAGGGTCAAAGAGGAAAAATCCATAAGTTAAGAGCAGTGGCTGCTAAGGGGTTTTCGTAGTCTGATTCTCATAGCGTGCGCACAGATGAAAACGAACTGAATTTGTATGATTTGAGAAAACTTGATTTGAATGACGGTATGAGAACTTGTGTCGACGTTTTGTTACTAACCCTTATCTTTCCCGAGGTACTCAGTCTTCCTAATAATCTGTGTTCGTGCCCCTTGGCGAAAACTCTTTTCTGGGAGAGTTGGGACATAATATATTTCTCTTGATTTGATTGCAAATGTTGTTAATGTTTTACGCAATTCTCGACACAACTGAGATAACTGAGGAGGCGAGCTGATCGACACTGCCTGTGAGGGACAACCCTTTCTGAGTTAGGACAAAGTATTCCAGCATAAAGGTGGTGGTACTCGATAGCACAAAATCTCCACATGAAAATGAACTTATAATTTTTGTAAGGAGAACAACGTTAAGTTAAACAGAAAGTAAAGAAAAAGTTATTCTAGTATCAGTATGAGTAAACAAATACATCGACACAAAACGGGTTTTTTTTGGTGCTAGGACAACAAACACAAGCAGACAGACACAACAGGGAGAAAGAAAAGGGACCGGACCAACCCGCGCGGCCCTCTAACCATCCGCGAATAAATTATTCGCAATTGAATAAAGATTCTATGGCTATCACCCGAAGTGTATCGGTCGTTGTAACCCGTTCCCGTCCTTCTCTCTCTCTCTCGCGCTCTCTCTCTCTCTCTCTCTCTCTCTCTCTCTCTCTCCCCCCCCTCTCTCTCTCACACACACACACACACACTCACACATACACACCCCCCCCCCTCTCTCTCTACCACACGCTCTCATACACCCACTCTCTCTCTCTCTCTCTCTCTCTCTCTCTCTCTCTCTCTCTCTCTCTCTCTCTCTCTCTCTCTCTCTCTCTCCCTCCCTCTCTCCCTCTTATTTCCCCTTTTCGTGTGCTGAGCTGCCACCCACAGCGGGTCCACGCGAGTGTTGTGGGAAATACACCTCGGCTCGTGTTACGTCAACACATTCTACCTGTGGGTGTTGAGATTTCTGGAGTCATCCAATAAACTTAAGTGGACGCAGACACGCGAACTCGTTTCACGTCTAAGAAAAAAAACTTTCAAGCATAACGTTGCCCAGGGGTTCAAATGTACCACGCCCAAATGTTTATTCAATTTATTTTTAATGGTAGCTTCTTAATCTGTAGCATTGCTTGTTCGTGCTCAAGAATAAATGTTTTGTTAAAATTCAAACTCTAACTGTGGGAAAAGAAATTAAAAAAAAAAAGTTGTCACAATTGTTAAAGGAATGAAAAGCTCTCCTGAAAATGTTTGTAGGTTTCGTTCACTTGAATAGCTTGCCCAAGATAAACAAGGCAATCTATTAAGCAATAAAAACAGAAAACAACCAAGCTAACCAAACAGATAAACAGTACCCCCTCCAAACCCAGTCCCCTAAAACTCAACCAGCACCCCTCGCCCCCAACATTCCTCCCGCGTCTTAACTTATTATGAGACTTTCCCTTTCATCAGTCATAGAGTTCAAATTACAATATTTTTTCCTGATCTTAGTGACAATATTCCACAACTATTGTGTGATTTTGATTCAAACGTCTCTATCGAAATGCTCATGTAATCTAGAATAAAAATTTGTTGCAATTTTCTCTGCACATCCTCTGGGGAGCATGCAGGTAAAAAAGTCTCTTTGACTGACAAAGATTAAGGTGATATAAGGAGGGAATAATAACAGGACGGAAGAGTGACAGATATAATGCTTAACTCACTTGTTCAGGCCCGTAGAGTACCATTCATTGACGTTCTTAGGGCTAGAAGCAACAAAAACATTACTGAAGCATTTGCCGCATTTCACCTCTGTGAGTACATGTATAGAGGAGCTAATAGCCTGTACAAACGGGCAAACCCAGCCCTGCCTCTGGTGATGGCTAATGTAGACTCAGGTCCACCTCGTTTATCCTGTGTCTTGTATCTTATATTTTATAAATATACGTTTTCCGGACACCAGCATTGTAGGGGTTTTATGGTCTTGTTTACGTTTTATCGTTGGAAATATAACTTCAAAAACTGCTAGTGGCCAATAACTTATAATAACTACCCCGGCTGGTAATTACTAATGTTAATTACAGGCTATGTAAGAAAGCCAGCCGCTTCTCTCCTGCCTTTGAGGAATAGTGGATCTTGACAGAATACCTAGAGGAATAAGTCCTGGCAGAAGGACAGTCGATAAAATCTGTCCACCACGTGAGCCGAACTGACGTCTCTCTGGAGTAAGAGCTAAGGGCCCGTCTATTACATGACAGATATTGTCGAGGATCGATGTTCAAGACGAACGTGTGGATAGAATTCTTCTCGTTGTTTTTGCAAACACGATACCTCATTCGTTCTGTCACCCATTCATTATAAGAAATGCTCATGAATCTCTGTCTAGGAAATCTGGTTTTAAAGAACCTGAAGGATCTTTAACAGTAGATGTTATGTTCTTGGGATATTATGAAAGAGAACAGGAGAAGAACAAAAAGAACAAAGAACAAGAAAGGGAAAATCTATACTTTCAATGTTGTTAGACACACAAGCCATAACCACGTTGTCAAATATTACGCGTCCGATTTTCCTGCTGCTAGAGCCCATAATCGCATAAACCGGGGATCAGATTTGGAAAGATTAAATGTGTCGAAAGGCGACACTTGGTATATATTACGCTGTCAGATGTCATTTTTAATATGCATAGTTCGGTCAGTGACGTGAAAACGAAGAAAGAAGTGTGAGCTAGCAATAGCTGGATTTGTATTATTAAAGGCTCTGGACGTGACGTAATATTAACAGCCCCAGGTAAACTTCCCAGAATAGAGTCTGGAAGAAAAGGAAACGTGAATTGAATACCGAGAAAACACCCCTTGATATTATTATTTGATTAGTTTGGTCAACAGACGAGACAGAATTCCGCATTGCGATTACATAATAGATTTATTAACGCTGTGAAATATCAATATTTTTGTTTCGAAGTAATAGAAAATGAATAGCAAAAAGATCGTGCCGCTGAACAGACAGACTTCAGACCTTTGTCTTTTAAAAAAGAAATTCTTTGCCTTTCTCATACTGATGCTCTTTACCATAATCCATCTGGCAACCTGTCTCTTTCTTTGGTCTCTACGTTTGATGGCGGACAAGAAAGCAAAATAAAACTCGAATGTTGCACACCTAAGAACACACATCCAAAGGTAAATTAATTATGAATCTTATACATATACGTATTATATAGCTCTTATCCCGGGTTTGAAAACAGGTTAAAACTTATGTTAAAAGTAGCCCACATTCCAGAGAGCTCTTGTTTTGTGTGTAATTTTATGTCTGCCTGTAATGCTGTCTCCCCGAATGTATTATATAAATACAATATACAATGATACTGAATACTATTTTATACAATACATCAAACAAGAAACTCTGTAACGGCCGTCACTGACAACGAGGACATGCCACAAAACATGTCAACCAAACAGACTTTTACAGCACAGTAATATTTGCCAAATTTAGTATGTTGACATGTTGATCGCACGCACCCCCAGTCGCCCCCCCCCCCCCAAATCAACCCGCAAAAAAAATTAATATATATATAAAATCAAAACTAAAATCAAATTTCAGATTATATAAGAGCCACCTT